TGTGATGCAGACGAGGAAAGACTAACTCGTACATATATGGCTTGGTACAAATCAGTTTGATTTGGGTTTTTCGCCGATGATATACGACCCACAGCAAGTCACTTAAACACAATAAGCTTCAACATCTAACCCCCCACAAAATTACGAGACTCATTACTCATAACCTTTTACCCAACAAAGCTACCGACCCACAAACAAGCAAACATACGACCTAAACAGTTCAGCCACGCAACCACAATACCAAGAGCATGCCTGTCGTACCCCAAATTTGCCCTATCTCTTTATTTTTGGTCTAGCTTTGAACTTTGCATTCCATTTGCATCATTTTATCATTCAGTCATTTGAGTATCCCGCATCTCATGGAATCAGGCACTTTGGTTTGAAATTTTAGGGCTACGCCCTCTTTTTGTCTAATCTTATTTTGAGGTTTTCTTATCAGGTAAAAAGGAAGCGCATCTGGTTCTCGATTAGTGGATCGTGGAACGAATTTTGTCATCACGTTACAAGGTTTGTTCTCGCTCAATTTTGTCAGAGCTTGGATTAGGGTTTATTTCCCTATGTGTGCTGGTCAAGTTGCTAGGGTTTCGAGTTTTTGGTTTCTGTGAAGATTTTCCTGTCGCCTGCCTCGAGGGTGGCTCAAAGCACAGTGTATTAGGCCTTTCTCACAAGGATTCTCAGGGTTTAAGTTTGCACAAGTGCATTGGGATCTTCCAGTACCAAAATTAAAAGGAAACTGTCAAAAAGAGAGAAAACAGATAAAAATATTATTTTGACAAATTTGGAGGAAAACAAGTCTCCTTCGATTCAGCACCTTTTGATTGACTCTTGGACTCCTTCGAATGCAACTTCGATTCAGCACCCTTCAATTGACTCTTAGCCTCCTTCGAATGCAACTTGGATTACACCCTTCGATTGACTCTTAGCCTCCTTCGAATGCAACTTGGATTACACCCTTCGATTGACTCTTAGCCTCCTTCAAATGCAACTTGGGCATGTCCTTCATTTTGAACTTAAAGCCTCCTTCGAATGCAAGTTTAGGTACATCCTTCGTTTGGATTTGAAACCTCCTTTGATTCAGCCTTTCGATTGGACAAGTGTGCTGCCTACATGCTTGCAATCACAGGCCATGACATGTTGGCCACACATGCCCCCTGCAAAGAAACCTTTTCGATTCACCAAGCGTGCTGCTTGCAAGCCTACTTCGACTGGACGAGTTTGCTGCCTGCAAGCCTACTTCGATTTGGACAAGTTTACTACCTACAAACCTGCTTCGACTGGACAAGTTTGTTGCCTGCAAGCCTACTTCGACTGGACAAGTTTGCTGCCTGCAAGCCTACTTCGATTTGGACAAGTTTACTGCCTACAAACCTGCTTCGAATGGACAAGTTTGCTGCCTGCATGCTTGCTTCGTTTGGACAAGTTTCGATGGGATAAAGTAACCATCTCTATGCATCCTTCGAATCCACTTGCACCAAGGGCCTCTTGTATACTTTGCTTCATACAAGTTTCGTTTGAGCCAAGAGGTATCTTCATACAAGATTTGACTAAGTTCTTGCTTCCCTTGAAAGAGCGCCCTTCAATTTAGAAGCCAGGAACTTCCCTCATGCTAAAAAGACACAAGACAATGACTCCCTTTATGTTTGTTTCGATCCACATGCTTCGATTGGCCAATATGCTTCCTTTGAGCATGAGCTTTCGATTTGGCAGTATGTTTCCTTCGATACAAGCTTCGATTGGGCATTAGCTTGTTTAGACCACAAGCTTCGACTGAGGGAAAGGCTTCCTTCGAACAAGTGTGTTTCGATCTCATTCTTGCATTCGACTCAAGACCAAGTCTCATTTTCAATGCTAAGCTACTTCCAAATCTTTACATGATCAGAGGCTTACATAAGTTTGTGGTACATTTCCTAAGGGTTCGAAGGTTTATTCATGGGATAATACCATTCTTGGATAAATTGGCAAAAAAACTATGTACCCTTTTTTTTCAATAAAAGGTACTTTAGTCCAAAATAGCCAAATATAACACTCCAAAAATCTGTTGTTGCTGCTCCAATGCCTGCTGTAAGATGCCAAAACAAAACAGAAAAACCTGCTACAAAACTGGCCAAAACTGCTGCACAGCAGTCCTGAAACACTGCCCCATTCTTGCACCGAAATAGCATACAAACACTGTCTCTCGAAGGCTACAAAGAGCATTTTACTCAAATTGTTCAAATTATTTTGTTTTCCCTCCAAAAGCTTCAGCCAACTTTGCCTATAAATAAGAGGCTCCAACACATGTTTAAAGGAGGATCTTTGGACCAGAGGAACGAATCCCCCAAATTTTCTCAAACACAACAAAACTCTCAAGTTCATCAACACTTGAGAAATCAAAAAAACCCAGAATCCCAAGCACTCACCTCTTTCGATTCTGAAGAACACCCCACACATAAAAGTTTGCTCAAACTCAAAGACAACCTTCTGTGACAACTCTTCGAACCAAAAGCGAACCCCCTGTGACTACTCTTCGAATTCCAGAAACGTCCAGGTAGCAGTTCAAGTTCGAAACCCACATCCATTCAAGGCCTGAAGCAAGGTAAGTTATTCTTACCTTTGAACTTTTCGTTCCATGGCATAGTAATTTTCCCTTTCGTTTGAAACATGTACATACCATTGTTCCTTTCGTTTCCACCCTTTTTAACATATTTTTTAGAGCTAAGCCTTTCGTTTTGCTTTCTGTTTACCTGAACTTGCTTTAACTATTAAATTGTTTACAAGACAAATACTAGCATGGCCTCAGGCCATGTTGCCATTTAATGCTTGAAATGAAAGAAACAGGAAACAGGAAATAGGAAACGAAGCTTCTGGCTTCTACCCTCTTTCTCCAGGCCAAACGAAAGAGACAACCAGGAGGAAAACCATGTTGACTTCTAGGCCCAAACGAAAAGTATGTCTTCACTGACTTCCAGGCTCAGTCGAAAGGCATTCCCTCACTGCTTTCAACCTCCAGTCGAAGAAGACAACAAGGCAACACGGAAGAACCAGAAGGCTTCGCCATACACTGACTTCCAGGCCAATCGAAGGACAGAACCTCACTGGTGCCAGCCCCTAATCGAAGGCCATGGCCTCACTGGTGCTAGCCCCAATCGAAGGAGGCCAACAAAATGCAAGTCGAAGGGTGCTATTTCCTGGGTCGAAAGACACTCATTTTTCTTACTTTTATCTTATTTTTTCCTTTATATTTTTTATGCCTTTTGATATGGTTGTAATAGCGTAGGATTTTATCTTTCTGCATTTTATTTACTTTGTACAAATGCTAGTAATTAGGCGTGTATGGCAAGATAAAATCAACAAGTAAACAAACCAGAAAATCCAAAAACACTCTTTAATCATTACTTGAATATATCTTAAAACCCGCAAAACACTCAACAAATCAAAACTTCCCCAAGGGCATGTTATCTCCGTTCTACCGCGATACCGGCCGTGCCTATTGCTAGAATGCGTGCGTTAATGTCGCCCACTAAAAAACACAAACAAATCAACCTTTTTATAGAGGAACTACGGTGTTCTGATTCCTTCATTGGATACGTAGGCAAAGGGTCGTGAAACCCTCACGAACGCAATAATAAAAAACCTTTCATTTCCCCTTAAGCAAGCATAGTTGTAGATAAATACACCCTTTGAGACAAGCAAAAAAAATGGACCCCGTTGAGTACAACGGATGTGAGGGGTGTTAATACCTTCCCTTCGCATAACCGACTCCCTTACCCTTTCTCTTGGTCGCAAGACCATCTTATCCATTCCCCTGTGGTTTTATCGATATTTCCCCTTCCTTCGGGATAAATAAAGTTCGGTGGCGGCTCTGTGTTTTCTGCCGGTGGTTTCAATGCCATATACCATCGCCAACAAGATGACCATTATCAAAACACCCAACATTCACATGCCCTCAACACATCGTCATACCATAACCGCCATATTCAAAACACCCAGCGATAATATAACACCAACCCTTCCTCATACCATAGCCAAGAATCCCAAACATCACAAAACCAACACATGCAATATGGCTATCAAACACCACAACACCCATTTCAACCTTTCACAAATGAATCGTTCACACTAATGTCCGCCCTTCAATTGTCTCGACCGCACACTCATAAATCGAACACACCCAAACTACTTTGGTATGGGTCACAAACTCAGTTACGACAACGCATCATTCCATACACAAGACTTCTTAGAAATGCAATAACTTATTAGGGAATCTACTGATGCTGGTGTTCTTGAGACCTCAAATCTTGAAACACCTGGGATGAATCAACAACGTGAGCTAGGACCACGAGTTAGGATACTTGGGAGTGTGGAACCGATGGCATGTATGACCAACCCGATCAACATTGTTAGGGTTTTTTATTTTCGTGTGTAGTATCTTGAATTTAATATTAATATTTTTAATTTCTACTATAATACAAACTATCAATTATTATAGTTAAAAAAATCACAATACACACTAGTACCAGACCAATTAACACATGCCTTTAAAAAATATACATATGCGCTAATTGGATTGACAACATCTATTACAAATGTTAATTCAATTAGCGCATTTTCTTAAAGTTTAAGTTGTCGCCAATAGTCAAATTTTTTTTCTTTTTTGAAAAATGAAATATATTGCGAAATTATTTAAAAGGTGGAGTACTTTGAGAATTTTGTTTGAAAAAGTCGATTATATGAATAAAAGATTCAACTTTAGTAGATTTGAGGAAACAAATTAAAAGAAATAGCAATATATTCCTAATGCTCACATGGCTTTTCATTTTATAAATTTATTTAAGATAAAACAAGTGTGTTTGTCTTTTTATGTGGGGACCGTGGCAAGTCACAGTTGAGAAATTGGAAAACAAAAAAGTAGAGCATTATAGTCCTATAAAATATTCAACAATGTGAACTCCGATTCACCACAAAGAAGAAAAAGTTTTCCTTGTTGAAGTATCACGGTGGAAGAAACCAACAACATATCAATGAATGTGTCAGACACCAACAAATGGATATCTGATTTAGTAAGAAAATGAAAGCTTAATTAACCTTTCATGTCTACCAAATTCACAAATAATAGATTATAAATAAATTGTTCAACTTTTTTTTTTCCAGGAAATGGATGAATACAATTTATTTCCAGAAGAATGCAACCTGGATTTCCTTGATGCTGATGAGAAACAAGAGTTTCTTTCACATGAAATAGCTACTGTCTTTGAAGAAGAAAACCAACATCAACATTTGAGTTCAGAGTGCACTTCCACAACTCTCACCAACTTGCTCACTGATGAAACCTGTTTTGAGTCATTTGACTTTGGTTTTGAGAGACCAACCAATGATTACAATGACAACATCACAGCTGAAACCATGTCACCAAAACTGTCTCCATCATCTTCTATCTCATCTTTTCAGTCTCAGATTCTCTCTTTTGAAAACCTCCCAAATTCACCTGCTACCAACACCCCCCAATTTTTTGAATTTGACCATACTCTAAACTCGAAACCCAACGAAACAGTGTCGGTATCTCCACCCCAGATGGAAAACACTCATGTCTTCACTCAAACTCTAAAAGGGTCATCAAAAAATCAAAACTTGGAAACAAAAACCTCGCAACCAAAGAGATCTCGAGCTAACGCAGAGGATCATATCATGGCTGAGAGAAAGCGAAGAGGGATACTCAGCCAGAGTTTCATTGCTCTCGCTGCTCTTGTTCCTAACCTCAAAAAGGTACTGTAGATCAATTCCAATGACCCTTTTCATTATTATGTGTCACAGTCACACTACTAGTCGCTAATCAATTGTGTCTGATAAATCTACTAGATGGACAAAGCTTCTGTATTAGCTGAGTCTATTAAATACGTGAAAGAGCTTAAAGATCGTTTGGAAGTTTTGGAAGAACAAGACAAGAAAACAAATGCAGAAACTGCAGTTGTTATGAACAAACCAGACCTATGTAGCGATGAAGATAACTCCTCATGTCATGAGAACGTTGAAGTTGCTGGGGGTGGTGACAGTGAATCACTCTTACAAGTGGAAGCTAGAGTGTCAGGGAAAGAGATGCTTATAAGGATCCAGTGCAAGAAGAAGAAGGGAGTTTTGGTAAAAATGATGGGAGAGATTCAAAGTTGTGAATTGTTTGTTGTGAATAGCAATGTCTTACCCTTTGGTGATTCTGTCCTTGACATTACCATCATTGCTCAGGTAAAGGACTATATCTACCTTCCACTAAGCATTTTTTTCTATACTTTTTATTTTTATTTTTGTTACATCACTACTTTTGTCTTGCTTTAAAAAGTTGAACTTAAATATTGTTATCATTATTTTATAGATTGGTGAAGGGTACAATTTGAGCATAAAGGAGCTTGTGAAGAAGCTGCGCATGGAAGCATTGGAGTTTATGTCATCATAATAACTTGAACAGGGCACTTGTTCATTCCGTGTGGAAATGGTAGTAGAAGTATGTATGGCTTATTTAGTACTAGTAGGTGCTTTAATCAATTCAGATTGGGAGTTATGTGGAAATGGTAGTAGAAGTATGCGTGGCTAAGGTGGCTTATTTAGTACTAGCTAGTACTTGCTTTAAGCAATTCAGATTAGGAGTTATGTGGACTTTTGTATTATTTGATTTTACGAAAATAACTTTAAGTAGGACATGACAACTTTTTCTTCCTCCACACTAAAAAGGTGGAATCTATCTTTTGAATTAAAAAAGAGACAATTTTATAATAATTTACAAACTTTGTAATTTGGTTTAAAGATAAACAAGATAATTTTGCGTGTGCATTCATGTTGGTTTGATGATAAAGAGTTCATCTTGTTTGTTGAGAAGGAGTGAAAGAGTTTATGCACAGTAGGTAGAAGCGATTACGTCTTAAAAGAGAAACTCAAACTTCATAAAGGAAGTCTCATGGGGTGGAATTTGGAAGTGTTTGATAGAATCGACTTGAAGGTTGAAGAGTACAAAGATGAAATTAATGATATGGACAATCTTCTCAATAGTTCTAAGGATGATCAGGTGGAGGAACTGGTGGTAAGAAGAAATAATTCAATCAGGCTTTTGTGGAAGAATTTAGCTCTAAAAGAGAACATGATCATCCATAAGTCGAGAATGAAATGGAATATAGAAGGTAATTTGAATAGCATGTTTTTCCATGATATTATGAAGGGAAGGAATACGAGAAATTTATAGGATCTTTAACTACTGAATGAGGAGGTTCGGAGTCATTTTTGTGAGAAATTTAGTGAAACTGAACTTTACAAACCGCTGCTAGACGATATCGATTTTCTTAAGCTATTTCACGAGGATAACTGTATTTTGGAAGAAAGATTCTCCAATCATGAAATTACAAATGCAGCTTGGGGTTGCGAGGGGTCTAACAGCCCGGGTCAGGACGATTACAATTTTCTTTTCATCAATAATTGTTGGCACTTTATTTAGGACGATTTTGTCAGTTTCTTCAAGGATTTTCATGGTAAAGCTAACTTATCTAAATCTATCACTTCTTCTTTCTTAAGTTTAATTTCGAAGAACATGAATCTCCAAGGCCTCGATGATTATAGATTTATATGTTTAGTTGGGTGTATTTACAAGATTTTGGCCAAACTTCTTGCTTCTAGATTGAAAAAAAGAGTGTTGGGGACCTTGATAAAGAAATGTTAAACAACTTTTGTTCCAAGAAGACAACTCATGGATGATGTTTTAGTGGCGATGAAGTTGTGGACTATGCAACTAGATCTAATAATGAGTGTTTGTTCTTCAAGGTCGAATTTGAGAAGGCGTACTGTTGTACCCAAAAAATTTTCCCTCCCATATTTCTCAAAACATTGCAAGAAAGACCCTCAAGTTGCTCAAGATTGTCCAAGGGTTGGCCAGACAAGCTCTCTCCTAAAGCAGTCTACCCCAAATTAGGGTTTTATGTTTTATCAAGATCCTTGAGTCCAAGTGATCCCAAGTACTCACCAATGTCCTAATAAGTTCTCAAGATCATCCATGTCAAGTTTCAAGCCTTGCAGAAGAAGTTTGCTCAGTCAATTGCTCAAAGATCCAAAAATCGATTGTGCAAGGGCAAAAGTTAACTGTGGCCTACATACAGTCAAACTTCAAGATTTTTGGTCAAAATCCTCATTTTGAAGTATATTTCATCATTTGATCAAGGGTTGATCATGATTCATCAAGGATTGCTCACAATTCATCAAGATTCAAAAGTTGCTAAATTAGGGTTTTGTAGGAAAAGTCAACTCAACTTTAACCAAGCATAACTTTCTCATACTTTATGAGAAATGACCCATCCAAAGCTCATTTTGAAGAGGATGCAATTCCCTACAATCCATATTCAGCTCCAAAGTTCAAAATATTCACTCATAAGAAGTTATGAATTTGGACATTATAGGACATTTTGAAAAGTCAACAAAAACACCTTTTTTTTAATCAAAACTTCTAACTTGAGCATGGAATATCAAAATGAGATGCAACCAAAAGAGTTGATTATAGTACATCTCAAGCTTTATAAAAAGTCCAATAACACCTCCAAAGAGTCAAAATTGAGGAAGTTATGCATTGTTGAAGTTGACCTTTTTTGCAAAATTGCCAAAAGTCAACTATGCCCAAAACTTCAAATTTTGCCAAATGGGCCTAATCTTTTTCACTTGTTTTGAGTTGGCAACATAGCCCACATGCTCTAGCCTTTGCCACTTGTCCATATTTTATTTTTATTATTTATTTTGGTTTTTATTTGAATTAATTCAAATTAAATCAAAACAAATCAAATAAAATCAAAAATATTGAAAACCAAGGATCTTGTGATCATTTCAAGTCTTAAATCATAGCTAGCCATCATTCAAATTTGCATCAAGGCTTGTGGGCACAAAAAGATTGAAAAGAAGCCAAATTTGGAAGGTTTTTAAAGAGAATCAAATCAAATATCAAAAGCATTGAAGAAGGAAGATTTGGACACAATAATCAACCCTAATGCATTGTTTGATACATAAAGAGGCGAGGGAGATCAAAAGGAAGGTTAGAAGCAGGCGTGAGAGCAAGAACAAAATTTGTAAAAACAAGCAAAAAGTGTGAGATCGAATTGGTAGTTAGAGGCATCCTCAAGGCTTGGTATCTGTCCCAATCGCTTCCTGGCACTCTCAGCAAGTTAAAGCTATCAATAACAAGTCTGTTTCGGTCCCAGAACACGTTGTAAGTCGCTCACAACTCCGCCCTGTTCTTGAATTCGACTATCATATTTTAGGCATTGTTAGATGGAATTAATCATACATTCTTGATCTATGAAGCATTTGCAAACTTTTTGTATCATTCAATTGCGTTTATATGGTCTGTAACGAAATCCACCATTGTTAGGGTTTTGGACTTTGGTTTAGGGCTTTTTATTTCAGGGACAATTGGCCTTTGTAATGGGTATGGTTGTGTTCAGAAGAAGGAGACGGTTCTAACCATGGCCTTGGTGTTCATTTATATTACCTGTACGTGATTTTGGAGATTGGAATGGTTACAGTGACGGACAGTGTCCGTGGGTATAGGTCTCAAAGTTTTTAGCCACAGAGAGAGGAAGAAGACAATGAGTTGTCATCCCACCATTGGTCTGTTTGAATTTCGCGCAAAAATCCCACTAACGCTTTGTTTTTATATATTATTACTATTGTATGTTTTATATACAGCAAATACACAATGGCGTAGTGGTTACCATATGGATGCCTAAGGCGTTAGAGGCTGGAGGTTAGGGGTTCGATCCCTGCCTCTAGAAATTACTATTTTTCCATTTATTTTCAGGTGATTCAGTGCAAGCGAAGCCAGGATGTCCATTATACTCCCTCATCATCCAACGCGCCAAATGGCCAAATGGCCAAATCTGGTGGTCACCATTGCAAGCACACCATAAGCTCAGTAAAACGCAATGCACAGGATTGCAAAAGTCAATGTGGATCAGCACTAATGGGCCAAGGAATCTGCTTTTTACACCCCTAATTTCAGGCCCACCTCTCATCTTCTTTTTTATTTTATTTTATTTATTCTATTTAATTTATTTATTTATTTAATTACTAACCAATAATTAATTTTCTTTTTACTAAAATCACCAAAAATATTTTTTTACCCAATTAGATTTCAGAAATTTATTTTTCATCAATAAATCAATTAATTTAATTAGGTTGATTAATTAGGTAATTTTAATTTGTTTTGTAAATATTTAAAATTAAATAGAATAATTAGGTTTTAACATTAATTTAATCATTTTATTTTCTTTCCTTAAATAACAAAACTCCTAAAATATGTCATTTAATATTCATTAATTAATTTATTTAATAATTAATTTAGCATTTAATTTTAGGATTTAATTTCTTTTCTTTAAAAAATAATAAGAACAACAAAACATTTTTTAGGAGGGTCAAAACCCTAGTTTCGCATTCGATTCAATTTTTTTTGCGCGATTTATTTTTCTTTATTCAATTATTGTATTTGCTCCTGGTTTGTAATAAATAATTAGGACATTTATTTATTTTTCCGCTATTTTATTTTCAAAGGGTTGCTTTTGGCGATGTAAATACTCGACGCCTTGTAATAATTTAGTTTAGTTTCCGCACCTTTAATTTCTGCAAATATTCAACTGTTAGATGTTTGATAATAGGGCTGGCATGACAAGAATGAATGTTTAAATCTTAAAACAGTTAGAACACCCTAAACATGTGCAAAGATAAAAATAATCTGAAATTGAAACACTCGCACATGCGCACTCCTAGGGTACACCCCCACTTGGTTGCCTTCGTAAACTGTCATTGAGTATAGGTCGTTTTAGAGGTCATGCTCTTGTCTAAAAGATCATAGTTTCCTCGAAATGGTTTCCTCGGATATTTTTGCCTCAAACAAATGATCTAAGACATTAGGGTTACCGCTAAGGCGTCCTAACATTGCTTTAGTGACTGTATGTCCCTCTTTCGAATTGACCCTCAAACTCCAACGACGATGCTACCCACTCACTAATAGTGGGATAGCATTGTCTAAAGGAAATCAACATAGAACGATTCCTTTTTCGAGTAGGTAGATTAGTTCTTAAGTACTTGCTCATTCCAAACAAAGTTTTTACACTTACACTCTTTTACAAACAAGTTTTCAAAAAACACTTCATTACACTCTTGAGGACAGAAGCAAGAGTTAAATCAAAGTTAAAATAAAAACTTTTTCAAACCCACAAACACAAAGAAAACAATTTTGAAAATAATGAGCAAGTACCTAAGAGCCCGTAGATAACTACGGATAGAAAGGGTGCTAATACCTTCACTTTAATCTACCCCCCCGTACTCAAAAATATCTCGAAAATTGAATTTTTCTGTGCTTTTTTCCTTTCCTTGTTGGATAAAATAAAAGTCGGTGGTGACTCTTGCTTACCGCGACATTTTGCGAACAAA